TCTGGTCACACCTCTAGCCCTGCCTGCAGGCAAGTACCCACAAGAATGCAGGTGCTCTGAACGTGTACACACACACACGCACACAGCCATCCTTCAACTTTTTATTTACGATCAAAAGTTGTTGTAGGATAGGGGCTTCCCTGGTGGCACAATGGTTGAGAGTCTGCCTGCCAATGCAGGGGACACGGGTTCGAGCCCTGGTCCGGGAAGATCCCATATGCCGCAGAGCGGCTGGGCCCGTGAGCCATGGCCGCTGAGCCTGCGCGTCCAGAGCCTGTGCTCCGCAGCAAGAGAGGCCGCGATAGTGAGATGCCCACGCACCGCGATGAAGAGTGGCCCCCGCTTGCCACAACTGCAGAAAGCCCTCGCGCGGAAACGAAGACCCAACACAGACATAAATAAATAAAAATTAAAAAATAAAAAGGTGTCATAGGATATAAGAAAAACTAGATATCCTGACAACCATAAAGGCAAGAACTGTGCTCTACCGTCGTGGGGACCACCATGAGCACTACTCCACTGGAAGCCAGTTAAACCAAATGCCGCAGCACAGGCTCCGGACGCGCAGGCTCAGCGGCCATGGCTCACGGGCCCAGCCGCTCCGCGGCACGTGGGATCTTCCCGGACCGGGGCACGAACCCGCATCCCCTGCATCGGCAGGCGGACTGTGAACCACTGCGCCACCAGGGAAGACCTAATCTCATTTTTAAGGAGCTCACCCGGCGATTTGAGGCATCCATTACTTTGAGGACATTCCCAGAGGTCTGCCTGTACTCTACAGATGCAAATAAGTGGATATGGGGTTGCCGGCTCTCTCATTATCCAGGTAGGCAGGGGCTGGTCTGGCACACCTCATGTTCAAAAGCTGCTTTTGCTTCCAAGGAAGAAACAATCCTTTTTGTCTTTTTTTTTTAATTCATTTTTATTGGCAAATAGTTGATTTACAATGTTGTGTTAGTTTCTGCTGTACAGAAAAGTGAGTCAGTTATACATATACATATATGAACTCTTTTTTAGATTGTATTCCTGTATAGATCATTACAGGATATTGAATAGAGTTCCCTGGGCTATACAGTAGGTCCTTATTAGTTATCTATTTAATATATAGTAGTGTGTATGTGTCAATCCCAATCTCCCAATTTATCCCTGCCCCGCTTCCCCCTTGGTAACCATAAGTTTGTTCTCTACATCTGTGACTCTATTTCTGTTTTGTAAATAGGTTCATTTGTGCCATTTTTTTAGATTCCACATATAAGCGATATCGTACAATATTTGTCTTTCTCTGTCTGACTTATTTCACTCAGTATGACAATCTCTAGGCCCATCCATGAGGCTGCAAATGGCATTATTTTGTTCTTTTTTATGGCTGAGTAATATTCCATTGTATATATGTACCACATCTTCTTTATCCATTCCTCTGTTGATGGACATTTAGGTTGCTTCCATGTCCTGGCTCTTCAAAAGATACATGTATCCCACTGTTCACTGAAACAGTTTTTAATCTTTGTTCATATGGTATGGTAGCAGTACTCTTCTATTTAAAAAAAAAAAAAATACTTTGGAGAGAAGGAGAAAGACCAGAGAAATGGCAGGTGAACAGAGTCCTCAAATCTTGTCTAATATTTTTTGTGTTGTACACTCTGACTGCAGCTCTGATGCTAGAGCTCTAAAGTAATCTGGAGTGCTCCCATAATTCATTCGCTCCACTTGCCTGAATCTGTACGGTCACACAGCATATATTTTTATCCTTCTATTTATTCCACAGCAGAGTTTATTATAAAACTTCCCTTTAGTTTATAGGCTACTGAATGCCATCACAGATAATGAAAATATTTTTCCCCATAGCAAGTCCAGATCCTTCTTGTGTCATGTAAATTCATTTCTTTAATCTTGTTAAATACCATTAAGTTCCTCCATCAATACCTAAACTTCCTACTCATCTGTCTTTCCATTTTTCTGGCAAAAGAACACCTGTTCATAAATCAAATAATTTAGCATTTAGAAGGTACAGCTACAATTTACAGATAATCTGTTCCGGTGCATAGGTGTGTCTCTCATTGTATGTGAGATAATTTATGTGGTACAGGCGCCTGGCATTAAATACTATTGAATCACCTGGTGAAACGGTAGTTCTCCCTCAATTATCTTTCAGTCCTTCTGATTTCATTTAGAAGAGTCTGTATTGCATTCTAGTATGTCTTTAATGCCCCTCTAATACTGACTAACATCCCTATTTAGCAGGCCTCAGAATCAAACAGGCAAACATGTCTATCAAACATTTATTAAGATCAGTTAGTTTTCATTGTATTTGTTTTTGTGGTTATCTTTCTTAATGTGTTCCATTTATAAGAGTTTATAAATCTCATAAGTTTTCCTTTAAATATATTTAAGAAAAAATGTGAATTGACTAAGAAAATAATTTTTGTTTTAAAACTCAAGTAGCATGAGACAGGACTGCGTTAGGACTTTTGACTTTAGTAGGCACTTTGCATTTGTGGGTCCCTTCCTCCATATAATATTATTCAGAATGCTATATGCCACAGGAAAGAACTCATTTAGTAAAATACGTTTTTCACAGTGAAAATCTTTTTATTTTGAGGCTCAACCAAAAAATAGTTCTTGTCTGTTGAGAGACATCGTAAGTGATCTTCAGTCATGCACTCCCACAGGTTTTTTGAGTCAAAGATTATTTAACTCTGGTATCTTCTAAAGATATGATTCTAATATAGAAAGCAGAGCATGGAATTTGGAGACAGACGGAATTGGTCTTGAACCCTCTCCAGACTTAATAGCTTTGTGATCTTGGTCAAGACAATTACCTTTTATGAGTCCTTATTATCTCATCTGCAGGATGGAGTTGGTAACTCCCACTTAAGATATGGTTTTGAAGATTAAATTATCTCCACCAATATTCATTGAGCCCCTCCTATGTGCCAGGCTCTTTTTTAAGTGCTACAAATACCACAGTGAACAAAACATAAGCTTACCATTCTTGTCCAGCTGATGGTCTTACATGGAGTTGAATATTTCCTTGCTGGTTCTTAAGTCATTGAAGCAGAGCGTTGCCTGGGAGTGGATTAGAACTGAATTTCGTGTACTCCTAGTTCTAAAATAATTATCCCTCTTGCTGCTACAGATTTTGAGTCACAATTAGCTACCAAAGGTTACTTAGAGATCCAGCAAGGCCTTTTGTAGACATTTTTACCGATTTTTTTTTTTTTTTTTTAGTTCATAAAACTTCAGCTACCTTCAGGGAAACATATTCGCTATAAATATTTTGCACTATTTTTACCTTTGTTAATATATACTGTTTATCAGTAAACATAATTTGCATTATAAATTTTTAGAAAGGCAGATACACATTCTTCAGTGCCTGTAAATTCTTGATGATAAACTGTTACCCTCATATAACATTTGCTGCTGGCCAGACTGACATAGGCACAGCTAGCCACCAAAAGATCTCTTGTCCTCACTTATGGAACAAGTAGCTCCTTTTTAGTGGTGATGATGCCAGAAATGGAGTGATCTGGAGAGATTTTTTTTTTTTGCCTGGCATCACCAAAGCACATCCTAAGCTTTCCAGGTATGACATCTGATGATCAGCAAGTAGGCTAGGTAAAATAAAGTTAACTGGATAAGAATATTCAGGCTAGTTATTTGAACTTATATAACTTTATAGAAAAATGAGTGAATTTTTACTCAGTTTGGAGCAATGGAGGAACAGGTAGAGCTTAGATATTTTTTAATATTAATGGGTCAAAAATAACATCATCATTCTACAACCCACACAGGCTATTAAGAGTCAGCATTATCTTCAGTGTAAACGTTTCACTTGCAGGTGTTTTTCTTCTACAATTGATTCGATAAGTCTTGGCCTTAGGGCTAACCATATATTTGCATTTTACATGAATGCACTATTGTAAAACGGTTGTTGGCATCTCAAATTGTTGCTGAAATTCCAGGCCAATGTTATCTGAGGTGACTAGATTATAGTGAAAAAACCCAATAAAATAGATCTTTAAAATACATACTGTCTCTGTTTTAACACACATGTACATTTTGTGTGGTTCCCTTCAGAGCTAATTATACTGTTTTAAAACAATAACAGAGGGCTTCCCTGGTGGCGCAGTGGTTGAGAGTCCGCCTGCCGATGCAGGGGACGCGGGTTTGTGTCCCGGTCCGGGAAGATCCCACATGCCGCGGAGCGGCTGGGCCCGTGAGCCATGGCCACTGAGCCTGCGCGTCCGGAGCCTGTGCTCCGCAACGGGAGAGGCCACAACAGTGAGAGGCCCGCGTACCGCAAAAAACAAAAAAAAAGAATCAGTTAAATAAATGTTGGTCAGGGAATTCCCTGGCGGTCCAGTGATTAGGACCCGGCACTTTCACCGCTGGGGCCCAGGTCCAACCCCTGGTCAGGGAACTAAGATCCCACAAGCTGCTCGGCCAAAAATAAATAAATAAGTAAGTAAATAAATAAGTAAGTAAATGTTGGTACATCTATAAAATGGAGTTTTAAGCAGCTCTGGTCAGCGTTTATATTCTAGAAGTATTTCTATAATTGCATATCAAAAAGTCTCATGCTATAATCCCAAACAAAACTGCATGCACAGTATGATCTTAACTTCTTAGCTGTGTATAAATAATATGCACAAAGAGTGAGGGAAAAGAATGTGTAGCAAAATATTAACAGTCGTAATTTTTATTCCTTTCTTATGTTCCAACTTTTTTTCCCTATATACCTTTCTATAATTTCTATAATTTCCTGTAACGGGCATAAAGAAAATACAATTTTAAACATTAAGATATAGAAGAAAAAGAAGGGGAGCAATTGATAGACTGCGTGTTTTCACGTCCATGCCACCTCCTAGGTGAACCGTATACTGCTCTCTGCTGTGGCACTTTTGATGGAAATTTACACTATCCATTCTCCTACTGAAGACAAATAGCTAATTAGGGGTGATGATAAGAACCTGTGCCACCTGGTCTCTGTTCTTTTTCAGCACACGACGGTTTTGCCCTTTATATTAATTGAGATGAGGACATCACACCATGCGTATCCCAGCAGGAGCAGCGGACTGGCCGCCATATGTACCTTCTCTGTTGGCTATATATTATGGTAAGGACAGTGCCTGCTGGGCTTTCTTATTGTATTAGATTTTGCACTGCTAAATTTGGGCACATATTTCATTATGGATATAATCACTAACAGATTCACACTGCGTGCCTCATTTGGTCCAAGACCTGGGCTTTGTCTCATTTCCCCAGATGCTTATATTTTTAGAAAGTATATGCCAAACCTCACACAACAGGAATTTGTTGAACAATTCCATGTAAGCAGTGGTTCTTCCAAGGCTACATTTTTCAACTCTTTTTCAAACTAAATGTTTTTCTTGGACATCAGTTTTATTGCTTAAGGGCTTTTTTGCTTGGGATTTTTTGTTGTTGTTGCTTTTTTTGGGAGTGAGGGAGTTGCAGCAAATGCAAATGAGGACAGAAGAAATGACCTCTTAGAGGAGTGACTTCTATCCTCTAAGTGAAAATGTACATTTTCCCGAGTCAGTTTAAAACCTTTCCCAGAATTCGCTATTACATATAGCATGCATTTAATGGTTTTGTTTTGAAAAATTGGGGTAAATAAATAGCAGGAAATCTCTACTTTGTCTGTTGGGCATGAATAAGCCCCAAGTGTGAGGTGCCAAATTTATCTGATAAAAGAATTTTTGCCTGTTGAGTTTACTTCACTTTAATTTCAGTTCTAACCATGTTTTAACATTTCAGAATTATTTATCTTAAGATAATTTCTTATTTCTCTGTATAATTCCAAGTGCTCTTTGATATATTAGCATACACAGAAAAGGTCTCTCCCCTCAGCATTTCCGCCTCTTGGGACTCTCTTGTCCTGAGTTCTGGGTCACCATCACCTCCTTTAAGTCTTTAGGACTGAATCACGTTCTTCCAAACCCAGGACTGCACTTAATCCCACCAAAATCCTGGAGCACTTTGGGAGGTCCAGTCCCTGTGGAGCGTTTTGCTCCAGCCAGTCCAGAGATATAAAATAAAGGTCAGTACAGTACTTCACATACTTTGCCTGAATGATCACATAATGCTCCAAATCTGAACAAAAAGGGAATTCGCTTTTAGGAAGCCACGCCCTGTGGCTGGATCTAAGGGGACATCCAGGCTACAGACCCCAGAACAAACATGCGGTCATGTTCAATTCCATCTGCCACTTCATTGATGAGTCACCGACTGTTCACGAGGACTGGGGAACGTTTGTTTTCCTAGTGACTTTTTAGATTTTTTTTTCTACCCAAAACATTAAGTATTGGCTTTCTCTGAAAGAAAAAATTCAAATGATCCGGGCTCACAGGTGAAGTGTGACTGTGAAATTATATCTTAAAAATGAATTCATGTGCTTTATACATAAGAACTTGATGTTCAAATGACTCTTATCTTTCAGAAGAGTCAGGTAGGAAAGCTAACAGTTATTCCAGGGTTGCTACGATGTTTACAACACGTCTGGAACTGCCTATAGATTTAGTTTAAAAATCAAATGCCCAGGCTTCCCTGGTGGCGCAGTGGTTAAGAATCCGCCTGCCAATGCAGGGGACACAGGTTCAAGCCCTCGTCCAGGAAGACCCCATATGCCGCGGAGCAACTAAGCCCATGCACCACGACTACTGAGCCTGCGCTCTAGAGCCGGCGAGCCACAATTACTGAGCCCGGTGCCACAACTACTAAAGCCCGCAAACCTAGAGCCCGTGCTCCGCAACAGGAGTAGCCCCCGCTCTCCGCAACTAGAGAAAGCCCACGCGCAGCAACGAAGACCCAACGCAGCCAAAAATAATAAATAAATAATAAATTTTGAAAGTAAAAATAAAATGCCCTTCCCACCTCTCCCCGCAAAACACAGTCTCATTACTTTGCACTCATATTCACTTACCTGTGGGAAGGGAGGACGTTTACTCTGGGAACTCTGGGTGTATTTCTGTGAATTCATTTATATGCCATTAAATTATCTGAATCTTGTAGAGCCCCAGAGATTTTAGGAACTACATACTTTCTGATGGCTTTTCTTCCACTGTGGGTGCAATCAGTCCACATTCCAAAGAGACACGTGGGAAATACCACATAGTCTTCATTGTAGACCCCCAAGATCCCTCATTAAAATGAAGCATTACTCACGCTTTCTGTGCCAAGGGCAGCCTGCCAGCTCTGCACCCTCCCTGAGCAAACCAGTGCTTGTTTGGACACGTATCTGCATTAACCAGCGAATTCTCCCAGCTATGTTCTGAGAAAGCTTTCAAAGTAGACTTTTTCCTTTGGTGTTCTGCCCTAGGCATTCATAGCTATGCCAAGAGCTAAACAATGCCCTTCACACCATGTCACATTATACAAACCCAGGGATTTTAATTGTTATCAAAAAAGTACTGAGTTTTACTCCCTTCCGGACTATCTCAGATGCGACATAACAGTGACACAACAGCAAAAGGTTCAGGATGTGAAATCTTTACCATACCACATACCAGGGTCGTTCTGGACATTCCAGAACCTTATGCCAAAATGTAAGAAAGCATTCCTCTTGTCACAGGCTAATTATAAAGTAGATCTCCCTTAAAATCCTCTGTGTGGTTGAGCTGAATCCATACCTCCGAGGCTGCTGGCCAGCCTGCCTGTCTGCTTGGCTCTGATTCTAGCTTGCTGCCCATTTTCACAAGTCTCCCTACCCGTCTGAATCTGCTGTCTTCCTAGGTTTGGGTCACGAGAGTTGAGAAAGCGAGGGACACCGGAGCTTTCCCTCATGGACTAGAGCCCACTGAGCTCCCACGCTCGGTGGCTCCACTTCCCAGCCCCCATCTCAGTCCGACCCAAGCTCAGCATCTGAAGTCATCCCAGACCTTCCCTTGCCCACCTCCACCTGTCTTTCCACTTACCCAGGGGTCTGGGGCACAAATATCCCCTGACCATTGATGGTGGGCTCTTAACTCCCTTTCTGTACACCTCTCCTCCACCATCACTCCTCCGTGCATTTCTCTGCACCTTATTTGTGACATTTCCGCCTAATGAGTGAGATGATCCATATTCTATGCAGGACACAACACGGAAGTCCCCTTGGTTTCTAATGCAACAGTAATTATCAGGAATTGTACTGAGTACCATTTTGTCGACTGCTGTGCCAAAAGCGATTTTAAGTATTACTGTATTTAGTTCCCCACATAACACTTTGAGATGAGCATTATCTGGCTCATTTTACAGATAAGGACACCAAAGCTTAGACAGGTGATGTGGCTTGCCCAAGGAAAAGACACTATTTTTTGTTGTTGCCAGAACTACGGTTGACCCTTGAATAACGTGGGGCTTAGGGGTGCTGACCCTCGCCACAGCGGAAAATCCGAGGATAATTTTACAGTCAGCTCCATATACGTGGTTCCTCTGTATCTGCAATTCCTTCATATCTGAGGTTCCACATCCGTGGAGTCAACCACTCTCAGATCATGTGGTAGTGTCGTTAAGTATTTACTGAAAAAATATCTGCATCTGAGTGGACCATCGCAGTTCAAACCCATGTCGTTCAAGGGTGGACCCTACAGTGCAAGCCCTGGGGTGTGGCTGCAGAGTCTATACAGTGAACCATATATTCTCTACCCCTTCTTACTGTGTGAAGGGTAACCCTATGGGTGAACAAGCCAAGTGAGCTTTTAGTTTTTGTTTTGAAGCAATACATCAGTAGCAGCCAGGTCTAATTGTTAAGGCCACTTCCTGGGTTTGAATTCCCACTCCCACACTTAACCTTTCTGGGCTTTAACTTATTCGGACATAAAATAGGGACAGGGATAGTACGTACCTCATGGGGTGGTGGTGAGGACTCAGTTACTCTATGTAGAGCCCATAGAATTATGCCTGGCAGACAGTAAAAGTTTCTGTATTTGCTATTATTATTATTATTTCTACATTTGCAGTTCCGAGAAGCTCCTCAGCAATAGTAGCAAGAGCACATGTTTTCTTCTCAAGGGTCTGAGAATTTTAGATACGATGCTACAAGTCCTGATGCTACAAGTCCTTTCTCTTCCTTTACTCATTCTTGCTCACTTATACACTCTTCACTTTAAGAATCCAAAACAATAAAGGATATAAAAATACAAATTTGTTTTTAAGTTTAAAAGGATCATCAGGAAATCTTGAAGGAGGGGCTGAGTAAAACAAGTGAACTTTAAGATCACGGGATGCTGACTGTTGTCACCCTCCAGTTGACAAATTCTACAAGAGCAGACGTCCTCACTCCACCTGGTGCAGGACTCCTGGTGGCCAATCTTTTCCTTGGATGTGGTGCCTCCTCCCCAGCACCTCACATCCTTGTCTCCCTGCAGTATTCCTGCTGCCACAGCTCTGCTTTTCAATCTGCAGGGCACACAAACAGGAAACCACTGCAGATCCTAAGAAATTTACATCCCCAGGGATTCAACAGTGGGTCTCCTGTGTGCTGAGGAGTCTTCTTGCTGCCTCTGGCCATCACCCCCTCCCACGGTGGTTCTCATTCAGCCAGAGCCCACCTGAGATCTAAGGGGCCGTGCATAGTACATGCTGACCACTAAATGCAGGGCACAGTCAAAAGCAAGGAGGCATTAGTGAAGTGGAGAAGATGGGTCCTGGGAGTGTCTTCTCATAGATAAACATTTCTTATCACTGCAGTGAGCTTATATAAAGCAAAATAGGAATTTCTGTTGTCTCAGGGCCCTCGTTGTTTTTGATAAATTCCACACTCCAAATCCTACTGCCCCAAATGTGTCCATTGTACAACTTTCCAACCTAGAAAATCAAACAAAGTAAAATCATAGTGAAGTGTGCTCTTTCTTTTATGATATAAACTTAAATTGTCCAAAATCAGAATTTTATCACCACCAAACTTGATTATGCCTCAGCCGTGCAATTGCAGAGTTTTTTTTTGTTTTCTTATTGAAATGTTTCTATATTTCCTCAAATTTTTGCTGGAAACATACATCATTTTTAAAGTAGAGAAAAAATTCTTAAAAATAAAAATAAGAGTGTACTCTAATTAAGAAGTCTTCGAAAGAATATTAAGCCATGAACGAGTAAAAATTTTTTGCATAAAATTTG